CCGGCGCGAGGAAGCGCGCGGAAAGCTAGCGCGGCGAGTCCGCCACGCCCCCCTCGGCGCGAGCCTACGCCCTCTCCCAATCAACGCCTCCCATTGTTCGCTCGCGGCCCCCCATTGGTCTGATCCTGCGGGAAGGCGGGGAGAAGGGGCAGGGCGGCGGGTTGACGCCTGGCCAATCGCCGGGCCCACTGCGAGCGCCCCTGGTTGCCCCTGGAAACCTAACCTCCGACAGCTGGAGTCCGCGGCGCTGGAGGAGCCGGAGGGAGATGGACGGCCACTCTGAGCGCGGTGGGGACCCTGAGCGGGAAGACGGAGATGCGGAGAGCCCGGCCCCGCAGCTGTCCGGGATCAAGGGCGGCTCTGGCCCTCAGTCGCCGGCCAACCCCGCGGAGCTCGAGTCCCAGCCGCAGCCAGAGCCGCAGCCGGAGACGCAGCCAGCCGGAGCCGCAGCCGCAGCCACAGCCGCAGCCGGAGCCGGAGCCGGAGCCGGAGCCGGAGCCGGAGCCAGAGCCGGAGTCTCAGCCGCAACCGGAGACGGAGCCGAAGCTGGAGCCGGAGGCCGTAGACGCTTCGGATGGAGGCTCCGCCGCGGCCGATCTAGCCGAGCCCGCCGAGCCTACCGAGCCCGCCAAGGCCCAGGAAGGGCCGGCGGCCGCCGGGGCTGCGGGCGAGGAGGGGCCCGAGCAACGGGAGTGGCCGGCCGATACCGAGCCAGAGGAGCCAGCCAAGCCGGAGTCCGACGGCGGGCTCGTGGAATCCGAGAAGGAAAGGGAGGAGGCGGCGGAGGAGGAGGGGAGGGGGAAGAAAGCCCCGTCGCGGGGTTCTCCGCCGCCAGCCACCGCCAGCGGGGAAAAGGCTGAGCGGGAGGGACCAGAGGCAAAGGAGGAGGGTGCCGGGGAGGAGGAGGAGGAGAAAGAGAGCACGAAGAAGAGTGTGGAAGGAAGCGGGGCGAAAAGCGAGTTGGAGCAGAAAGGTCTGGACAAGGAACCTGAGGACGAGAGTAGTGAGTGGACGGAGGAGGTACAGAAGCGGCAGGAGCAGCAGCTGCGCTCGGAGCTGCTGGAACAGTACCGGTCGCTGGTGCTGGAGCGCAGCCAGTACCAGCGCTACAACATCTACCTGCAGCACAAGATCTTCGAGGCGCTGCGCAAGAAGAAAGGCCTGGATGCGGCCGAGGTGCTGGACAGGGGCCTGGAGCCCGAGTCCCCTGAGAAAGAGCAAGCATACCTCCACTACCTGGCCGCGCTGGAGGAGCTGAAGAAGCAGCAGGCAGACGACCTGGACTGGTACCACCAGGAGCTGGCTCAGCTGAAGCAGCTGTGCACGGAGCAGCTGTCCAAGGTGGAGAAGGAATGGCGAGCCTTCCAGGCCCTCAAGAAGCAGGTGGTGATGCAGGCCATGGGCAGCTGTCAGATGCGGGGTGGTCGCCAGGCCGCTCTGAGGGAGGTGGAGCAGATCCAGGCGTTGGAGGAGAAGAAGGAGGAGGAGATGAGCACCGTGAGGCTGGAGAACGTGCAGCTGAAGCAGGGCCTGATGCACTTTGAAACCAGGATGAGGGCCCAGGAGGACGTGACCGAGGGCCTGCTTCTCATCGATTTCGAACAGCTCAAGATTGAGAACCAGACCTTCAACGAGAAAGTGGAGGAGCGAAACGAGGAGCTTTTAAAGCTACGCAGCAAGGTGAACAACAACGTGCAAATAATCACCCACGTGAAGGAGAAGCTACACTTCGTGGATATAGAAAATGCATGCAAAAGGTCACAGCTTCTGGAAACAGAGGCTCAGGTGGCCCTCAGGAGGGACATCTTGACCAAGACTAAGCAAGCTCGAGACAGCCTGCGGATGGACAACATCAAGCTGAATCAGAGGTGCGGGCTTCTGGGCAAGGAGTTGCTCCTCCGGGACATGGAAAAGAAGGTGGACAAGACTGCGGTCCTCAAGCGGCGCTTAGAATCCCTGAAGCGCCACCACGCAGGCCTCTCTCTGTCCTGCAGGGGTGTGAAGCAGAAGATCCGGGAAGCCAAAGCCTTTCTCCCCTCTTGACACGCTGAGAAGAGTCAGCAGAACGGCTTCGAGCTCAGCAAACGTCATCCTCAATTAACTTTCATCCTCCATCCTTTAAAAGACCTATGATATTTACGATGGACTACGCTCTGTGTTTATCTCATAGTTTTTCAGTTTCCAACTTAGTGCCAAGCACAAGATCGGGTCAGCAGTCAGGTTTATGTGGGGTTAAGTGAAATAGGTCCAGAGAAACAAACAGGTCATGTGCCTGACTTCTCATAAAAAGCTGACAAAAGCCTTTTTACATCTGAGCGATTCCATAATTTCAGTGAGCTGATACTGAGGACTGTTCTTCCGTATGTGGGAGGGTTCATCTGATGAGCAGAGTACCCCGAGGTTCCTGTGCATTGAGTTCACTATCAAATCCCTGTGAATGTATTAAGCTGCGTAGTCTCAAGTCACCATCTCAAGTCAAAGCTCACTCATTCCCTTAGATTAACCTAAAGTGTGTTTCCCTTAAAGCCAATAAAGGTGGATTAAAATTCCTCCTTACGTTCCACGGCCTGAGTACATTTTTTTAATATAACATTATCCCCATCCAACTACACAGACGTTAACAATGAGGGGAGTTAAAAGCTTTGACTTCCTGCTTGCATTCTCTTTATCCCCTACAATTTTTGTTTCTTCTGTTAAAGTCAAAATTAAATAAGAAATCACTGGCAAATAGAACTTTCTTTGTGCTACAAATGAAAAGCAGCACTGAGTTCTTCTGTGGTTGAGTGGAGCGGGGGGAGCTTCAAAGCTAAACAGGCAACATGCTTGGTGCCCGCGCTGAGTGAGTGTCTTTCATTGTAAGCGTCCACCCCTTTGTTTCACTAGGTGAGGAACGGTGTCTTCAGTTGATTTTGACTCACTGGCAATTATCCATGTCAAACATTCCTTCATCGGCCTTGACCCCAGGCCAGCCTTTGACCTACTGCTTTGTGACTGCATAGTTCTCCCTACCCCAATGAGATAAAGCAAGGACTTTAGGTTTATCATCTCCCCAGTAGCCAGCACAGTGCCCAGCACATAATCAGTGCTCAATAAATTTGTCAAATACATTAGTATAATGTCAGTCTCGTGTCCTGAAAGTAAGTGTTACTTAGATGCTTATTACATAAGTTGGATTCAAAAGTAACTCCAAGTAGAGAGAGGATCTCTCAGGAAGTAGAACCAGTGAGGGAAGGGGCAGGCGAGCGGGCTTATGCTCATCATGGAAGGATGAACTACAGATACAGAGCCATCCATCCCGGAAACCTCTACGAGGGACACGATTTGTATGAAAAAATCAAAGGCTAAAGACTTTTTCATCTCCTTGTCAAAAAGTACAGGCCCGAAAAATGCAAGCATGATAAAATTTGAGATGTTATGTGAAACTAGACATTTTAAAATTGGTCTGAGTCGGAAGCAGCCCCTTCAGCGTTATGGGAGGTGGTTTGTTTTGGGGGTGGCACCGGCAGGAGTGAGTCAGGCGCTACCTAGAACCCGGGGCAGTGGGAAAGGAGGGCACATTTCTACTGGTAAATAAAAATCATTTTTGGTGACTTACCACATTTGGGATTTTTTAATTATGTAAGTGGAAATATGTGCTTTCTTTTTTTAAAAGTTCATTCACAGCCATAATTTAGATTTTGCCACTGGTCGGAGGTGCCTGTCCATAAAATAATACTGGAGTTAATGCTCCCCAATTTGGTGCATTTTATGTTTTAAACTTTCAAAAAGTCTTAATGTCAGAGTGATGAATCACACCAGAGCTACAAGTGGAAAGGACCCCAGCGGAAGGAACTGGGCGACTAGTTCCACTGCGTAGGGACACGGGAGGGATGCTGGCCGGGCTGGGGCTGGCAGGAAGTGCGCTGCTGAAGTTCCTGTCTCCCGCTTCCCACGTAATATTCCTTCCAGACGCTTGTCTCATTTTCGTTTAAGTAACCAATGACTAAATATGTCCATATTTTACTACATTTACACCCTCTCCAATTCTTCTAATATTTCACTCAAAGGACGCCAAGGATGGACAGAGAGATGTCCCAGCAGACAGGGTGCTGCTTGGGAACAGAGACCCTGGAATCGGCCTGACCTGGACTCAGTTGTCTTCCGACTGTGACCTGAGACAAATACCCAAACTCTCTAGACCTCAATGCACTCGTAAAGTAGGGAAAAAAGGTCAGAATATGAAAAAAGTATCTCTTTTCTGGGTGGTAAAAATTACGATTTTTTAATTTTCTATGTGCTTTTCTGTAATTTACAAGTTTTATACAATGAACATGCATTTAATTTGGGGGGAAAAATCTGATTTTTAAAAATTCACATGTTCACCAAGAGTACAAGATCCTAACAGTATGCATGTCAAGAGCATGAGTCTAGCATCTACTACGGTCTGTTTCTTTTAATGATACAATTAGTGTGGCGTTTTAGATTACTTTAACCTTAACAAATCAGTGGACAGGTGCTGGGTACCCTTTTAACCTTGGTTACAGAAAAGGAAAATGAGGCTTAGAGAATTTAAACTCTCCTGTTCCTAACCTTTCGCTAAATTGTACCTTAAACTTGGCTTTATTTTTTTTAAATTATTTTTTTATGGTGACATTGGTTAACGAAATCCAATAAGTCTCAGCCGTACACTTTAACAGTGAGGCATATGTATATTTACACTGTGTGTTCACCTCCCATAGTTAGATTTCTTTCTGTCACCACATATTTGACCCCCTCTCCCTTGTCTACCCGTTTTTGTTTTGTGTGTGTTTTTTTGTTTGTTTTTGTTTTTTATTAAAGCAGTTTAAGAACTGTTGAGGCCCTGGGGTCAAACTGGGGTAACCCGTTTTGCTGTGTTGTTCAGGGAGACCACTGCCCCTCCCTCCACCTGAGACCCCGCGGGGCTTGGGCATCCTGGGAAAAGGGGCCCTGGCGTGGCAGCGCCCAGTGGAGCGACCCTGTCCCAGGGCAAGCTGGCTGCCGGGGTGGCAGTGCTCATGGAGGACCCCGGGGCAAAACACAGCTGGACAGCGCTGGGGCCTCCCAGGAACACCTGGAACTTTAAGTCACGGTCGAGTTCCCGGGTGCTCTGCTGCTTCACGGGACCCCATCTGGCAACCCCCTTTGGCTCTAAGGCTTCCCTCTGATGGTCCACCTGGTGCCCTGGTCCTCCCATACCGGTCCCCTCTCCTGCCTTCGTGGCAGGTTCCACACTTCAGGTGGCGGTTTGAACCAGCAGCCCCCCGTTTCGCTTAGGACATTCGCCGACTTCTGTCCCCACTGCCCGTGCGTTTGCCCGAGGTCTGGCCCCAGGAGCTGGCCATGGGGGAGCAGGGCCACCTTCCCAGCAGCGTGGTGTCCTGCACACAGGAGGTGCTCAGGTGAGTGAGTGACTCACTTGGAGTTAGGCCAGCTAGAGGCAGAAGGCTTCCGATGGCCCTGAAGCAAGTGTTCCCTGGGGACAGGTATCCGTGTCAGGGCTCAGGAGCCACAGGCCTGAGTGTGAACCCCGGCACCGCCGCTAACTAGCTGCGGAAGCCCAAGCAGACCACTTCCCGGAGTCACACCTTTGAAACGGACCATGACAGCAGCTGTGGAGATCAGTGAGGTCACTCACAGGGCACTTACCCCAGGGCCTGGCGTGGGTGGATCAGCCAGAGCGCCCTCAGCAAACGTGATCGCTGTCAACCATGACCACCCTTGTCTGCCACTCACCTCACAGCCCGTGGAAAACGGAGAAAAATGCCACGGGCTAGAGAGAAGCAGTCCGCGGGGGAGAGAGGCGGGACGCTTTCTGAGCATCATGCAGGGGGCCGAAGACGGCCGAGCAAATGCCCCTTGAGCTGCTCCGTCCCCATGGGGAGGATGGGCAGGGAGGCAGATGACGCAGCACAGGGTGGAGAGGAGCCCCACACAGGTCCAGCACAGGCCTCCGGGGGCCCAGGGAGACACGGGAGGGGCGACCCAGCAGGGGTGGCAGTGTCTGCTCAGGAGAGAGACCTGGAGGGCCAGTGTAGAGAGAGAGCAGCCTGGGGCTCCCGCCCTCCAGCGGGGACTGGGCACGCTCCTCCCTGGGGCTCCCGCCCTCGGCCTGAGCGCTGGTGTGGCGGGCAGCGCCGACGCACGGGAGTGCTCCGTCTGCCCGGCCGAGGCGACCTCGAGGCCTACTTCGGGCTCTCCGCTCCACGGATGGGAACGGAGGTGCGCACTGGCCCCGGGAAGAGCCCAGGGTCCCACCGATGACCAGCTGACCAGGCTCCGAGCGGGTTCCTCGGGGGCTGGCACAGGGGACGCCGACGACCCGCCTGGATGGGGCGGCAGGCTCAGGGAGCAGGTGCAGGTGGGTGTGAGGGACCCCGGGGGCGGGGCTGAGATCAAGCCTGAGAGGAGCAGCAAGTTCGGGGCTCCCCTTCAGCTTGGGGCACACCAAACCCTCGAATCCCTTGACCAAGTTACCGTAACTATACCATCTTCCTGATGTAACTGATCCTAACAAGCGAATTTTAAAACACTGAAATAGCGCAATGCTCAAAATCAAATTTTTGCCATACTTCAGGACGAGAACTTCAATTTTAAACCAAACTGCAATGAATCAAGTAACAATTTTACATGACTTTTATTTAACAAAACCACATATTTACAATTCAAAAAGCCCTAATTTGATACACTTAATAAAATTAAAGGTTAACTGTACAAGCAATTAAAACATGATATGTAGCAAGTGTCATCAGGAGTTTTCTATCAGCGAACTATGTAAAATAGTCGAAATTGAGCAGTTAAAAAGTACCTTTTAAAGTGAACCTTGTTTCTAGATGAGATTTCAAGGACTGGTGGGGACGCAGCCTTCGACCCTAAAGTGCCAGTTGTACAAAGGTCCCAAACCCGAAATCTTAGATTCTGCAAATCGGTGGCCGGGGAAGTGGACAGGGCGAGCTCCCGAGGGGGTGCAGCGTTTCGACGTGTTTCCAGTTTCCTAAAGCGGCATCTGGCAGAGGAGCGCAGCCCTGTGCCTCTCTGAGGCCCTCTGTGGGAGGCGGCCGCGTGGCCCCGGGCAGGGGCTCAGAACTTCCGGCCTCTGACGTGGACACAGCAAACCAGCAAGCCCTCACGGGGTCCCCGAACAGGTCATGGACACCTCTTCAGAACTGGAGATTCGGTCAGTGCTCCGGATTGGCATGAAATCCATTTTAAAAGTTAACACGCAAATGGTGCTATGCAGACAGATGTGTGTCAAACTCGAACAACGGATGTTAGGGGCTGGGTCTGGAACGCGCGTGTCCTTCCGGCCGGAACCGCGCACCGCCCGGCTGCCTCGCTCTCCGTCGCAACTCCAGGAACATCTTTATGTACAGTAAGAAAATATATACATCTTTCGGGAACAGAAAGCCCACGTCAGGGAGCAACCCGGGCACACTCGCCAGCCCGCCTCCCAGGCTGGCACAGTCCAGGCCACGTTCAGCATCGTGGTATCGGGCGGCTGCGTCTGGCAGGCTGCTGAGACCTCAGTGAACACGGACCCTCTCCCCTCCCAGGTCGGGCGAGTCAGCCTGTGAAGGCTGGGGCGGAAAGCGGTACCCACGATGCTCTGCGACCGCCCTGGAGAATTCGGTGAGGGAGGCAAGGGAACAAAGGCGGTCTCGGGAAAAACCAGGCGGAACAGAGCTGGGCTGGGGGCACGAGGTCAGCCACGGCTCGGCAACTTGCTATCGCACTGACGAGTGTCGCAGGCAGATGTGACAGATGCAGAACACCTGGAAGAGTGATGCCATGGCAGGCGTTAGCCCCAGCCCAGGTGTCCTGGCTGCATCCTAGAGAGAGCTGAGGGTGCTCGCAACATCAGGAACAAGACGGACCCTGGGGCGCCCCCAGCGGCGGGAAGGACGGCCGTGAAGGGCCAGAGGGCGCCAGCCACACTGCTGCACGCACCACACGCTGCGAGTGACCTGTGCCCTCCAACCTGGACTGCCCAGCAAGCCCTCCCGGGGACCAACTCCCAGCGGATGACCACGTGGGAAGCTATTTCCATAGAGATCTGCCTGCCCTTTGGACTACTCTGCAAAAACCGTTCATTTCTTTGAATGTGGATAACCAAAGTTCTTAACACGAAGTTCTCAAAATGAGTCATGGGAAAGCGAGAACGAGGTGTTAATGACCTTGGGAAACCAGCTAAAACCTAAAATAGGAAAAGGCTGATGAAATGGACGCACTGAGAACTTTGACGAGACTGTCTGTGCTGCCGGGTGTGGGGCTTACTCCTCCGCCCTTATGACAGTCCACCTTTAAGCCACACGTGTGAGGGAAGCGCTGGCACTCAGCGCTGGCCCCTGCGTTCAGGTGACAAAGGACAGAGGAGCCTTCTGTCAGAGCAAGGGAGCAGGCTCCCCCCACACCGGGCTGTCCCCGGCCTGCCCAGAGATGAGGAGGGGGCCAGGAGGCAGGTCTTAACATCCCCTTTCCCCCCACTCTGACTTATGGGGGGCTGTCTACATCCCTTCCATCGGCTTTCAGACCGTCTGCCGCCATGGGCCTTCCCTGCGAACGGCTCTTCCTGCCGCGACTTCCCACCACTGCTCAGCGGGTGCAGGGGGCAGTCTCCGGGTGTGAGGGTCCCCACTGGACCCTTAGTGCCCATCTTCGGCCCTGTGCTGTCATGTGGCAAAGGCAACATGGTAAACGGTCAGGCCGAGGTCAGGTCGTGTCCCTGGGCGCCCACGGGCATCCGTCACGACGACCCCACGAGAGCTCTTTTGCCTTTGGCTCATCTTTGGTAGGTGGGCTTTCCACTTCTGGGAGGGTTATCGCGGTCCCTAAATCAGCAGTCTCTTACTACAACAGGTGACTGTGAGCCCAAAGCATCTCTGAGGTCTCCCAAGGAACTTCTCATGCACCTGGGCTAAGAAAGACTGTAATGTCCCTTCCAGTAGTTGACGTAAAAGCATTATGATTTAATTAACTTTTTGCTGACAGGAGGGGAGGGAGTCAGCCACTGCCGTGTTCGAGCCATGCGGAGCACGCGACGGTCGGCCACGGGCGACACTGGGCCACCGTCCCACTGGGCTGCTTAAGGCTAAGCCTCGGTTTGGTTCTTTACAAGTTTTGTCTGTTTTGTTTTGTTTTAAGGCCAACTCCAGTGTTAGGGAGCAGAGAGGAACAGAGCCCCTGTTCGCAGCTGCCAGGGTGTCCGGCTGAGAGGGCACAGGTGCTCTGGGACCCCGCTGCGTGCCGAGCGCGTCTGCCTGCCGCCTCAGTGCCTGGGAGGGGGACTTCCTTTCTCCGTCTCACGGCTGTCCTTCTGCAGCGCTGCCAGCACCTGGGGTCACAGGGAAGACATCCGTGGGCGCCCCGCGACACGCTGAGGCACAGCCCGAGAGGCTCACGCGGGGCGCTGCCTGCCCACCGGCCGCTGCGCCCGCCTGTCCTCCGCACCTCATCCGCACTCCCCGGCCCGACACCGCCCCGCCCGCCCACGCAGGCTGATGCCCCACAGCCAGTCCCGCCAGCCACGCGCCAACATCGAGACAGGGCCGCAGGGTTCCCCGCCCACGCCCACGGCCAGCCCCCCACCAGCGAATCCCGCATCGGCTCCTCGCGCCTCCTGAGCTTCCCCAGCGGGCGCAGCCGCCTGGCCCTGCTCTCGCGGGTCCTGGTCGGCGCCTTCATCTTCTAATACATACTCCACTGTGACCGCTTCGCGACAGCGGTGACAATAACCATGGCTGCATCTGCTGGACACCCGCCCCAGGCCCAGCAGAGCGCCCCGCTCCACGCACAGCGGCTGTCTAACCCGCGCGACACGCTGGGCGGGGGGGCAACGCCCCTTCGTAAGGCCGGAGCTCGTCACGTGCTCACAGACGTGATGCGCTCCAGGTTAAGCAGCCCACACGGCTTCACGAAACCAGATTCGTCCTATTCCAAACCCTGGGAACCTCTGTGGCCCCAGTGCTCATCTACTGGGGCCGGGCCCAACGCCACTTTAACTGAATTACAAATTACAAGGCGTAAAGCAGAAACATTTTACGAAAGTTTCCAACGGGCTGCACAGAGGACTAGCAGTGGGCAGGGCCCCCCCCCCACCTCTAAGGAAATGGGGCTGCCAATCAAATGGCTGTTCACCTGTTTTATAAAGCTCACCGGGGTCCTGACCTCAAGCACAGCACCTAAGAGCAATGTGCACGCCCATGGCTCCCATGATGCTTCACACTCTGTACTCAGCATCGGACGAACCCCTATCCCTCTACCGTTGTCAGAGAATGTCTGACTGTCACTAATCTCTGACCCAGTTTCAATCAATAATTTTTACCTACTTCCTAAAATGTAGGAAGCAAAACGTCAGCTGTGGGTTTACTCCTTCCCTCTCTGCGTGTCTGTGTGTGGGGGTCGGGGGTGGGGGTTGGCCGTGACCACACAGGTTGGAAAGGCTGACAGTCACACATCCCGGGAGTGCTGTCGTCCCCCCTCCTCTGCTGAGGGGCGCCTTCCAGCTCCCTGGGCTCCTCCGTTTACCAGTGAGATGAGGACCAGCCCACCCACCCACGGGCTCCGGGAGGGGGAGGAGGAGGGGCCCGCTCCGTGTTAGCTCCCTGTGCTTTCTGTCTCGGGCCGGTGGGCTTTGTTTATCAAATACTAATGTGGAGACAGCACTGTGATGGCACTAGAGCGCTGACCTCCCAGTGCCACTGCAGAATGGCACTTTATCATCCAGCCCTTCCATCTGACAGACCCCACGAGGGGATGGCTGCCCGAGCCCCCTGCGGCAGAGCCAAGCCTCGAGCCAGATGTCGTCACCTCCAGCCCGCCAACGACTTTGGAGAGGGCTGTTTCCTCAAAGAGCCCTCTGAGCGCAGTGCTTCCTACATTACGTACAAGCCACGTGCCCACGTCTCAGGGGTTACGGGAGATCCGCTCACCTGGGCCCACTTCTTGTTCCGACTCTGCATCTGAATTGTCGCTATGCAAGCAAAGAACTCCTCGGCGGGCAGGTGGTCGGGCAGCCTGGTGAGCAGCTGGGCCATGTGGATGAAGTCCATCTTCGTCAGGATGTCCTCGAACAGCTTCAGGACGCCCAGTGCCGTACGGAACAGAAACTCCTCCCCATCACGACAGAATACGTCCCAGATCCGACAGGCCAGGTCAAGGGGCAAGGACTTGCTGTATAAAGTAAAGATCCTGGGGAAAAAGGTTGCGTTTCTCAGACTTTGGATGGCACCAAGAAAGAGCTGTGGACTCAGGTGGACCCATGACAGAGGCTCATGTCGCTCACGCCCATCCTTGGACGCACACGTGGGGGCCGGTGAGCGCCAGGCCTGCATCCATGCTGAAGGCCAACTTAAAAGCTTCCTAAAACAGCACTACTGGATTCCGCATGGAACTGCAAACACCGTCCGGTGCAAATTACTGATACCAATTACTTCTACAAACAACGAATATTCATGAAGCACCTACTATGTGCTTGCTCTGTGGTAGGCGCTGGGTATGAGGTTAAAAGGCAGACAGAGCTCAGAGTCTGGTGGGGGGTAAAAACAGGGAACAGAAACTACGATTCAGCGTTCCCAGGACTCTGGGGCGTCCTGTACCCTCTTCCCCCAGTAGGGGTCAGCAAAGGAACAAAGTAAACGTTTCCAAATAAATTTGACTGTGGACTTAAATGCAAACCATGAGACGGAAAAGTGAAATACAGATACACATTCCCTTAAACAGTTTTGATAATCACAATGCAAACTACCAAACACACACAGTTCCGAGCAATCAAATGTTATCTGGTTGGATCATTTCTAGCCTGGAACGTGCCCGTCACACAGCAAGGCGAGCCCAGGTTGAGACATTAGGCAAACTGGTCCTCTGGGAACCCGTCCTCCCCACCCCAGCTGTGACACGCAGCCCGGTGCCATCTCCTGACCCTCAGACCCAGCTAGATGCTCCGTCCTGCTTGGGCCCCCTCGGCCCTGGTGCCTGCCAGAACAGGCCACGTCTCCATCTTCCCGCGGAGGCTGCACAGGGGCAGGGACCCTGCCCCGTCCACCCCCACCCGCAGCATCCAGCACAGCACCTGGCGATCTCTGCTGAACGACTAAATGAGGACAGACCCCTAGGCTGCATCCGATGACAGACGATGGTGGTTCTCATGACCTCATCGGAACCACTCCTCAGAGAAGGAGCGATTCTCAACTGCGGGGGACGGGTCCCCATCCTTCCTGGGAAATCACTCTTCCAGGTGCCCATGCTGGCTCGAGATACATGGGGCCCATGGAGGCGCTGACCTCCAGAGCTGGGCTCGGACCACAGGGCTGCCTAGGTCAGGAGGCAACATCATCAAGCCTTCGACAGGGGGACCCACACTCTGCTGGGACAGATGCCAGAACTGCAGCATGCTGGCCAGTCTGCACACGGGCTGCACGGACACAGAGGCTCCAGGATGCGATTCAGTTCAGACTCCCCGGCAGGACCTGGGGGGGCACTCACGCGCTCAGCACAGCACGCCAACCACGACACGGTTAACGTTCGCGGCCACGCCACGTCCGTGCTTCGAAACTCTGAGAGACTCAAGGAAGGCACGACAGTCCATTCATTCAGCTCAGATGTTGGAATAGGGACACAGATGTCGGGGGGAAACTGCCCCAGGTCCCGCCAAGAATAAGTGGCAGAGCCAGACGCTCTGAGCGTCCAGACTATGCTAGATGCCACCAGCAACACTGTCGCAGGCCTGCTAGGACACTTTATTTTTAAGTCACAGCACGTCCTCAGCCTGAGCTTCTTACTATCTCAAAAACAGCAAACGATTTCATTATTCAGTCTAGAAAACACGGCGGAGCGATCCAGGAGGTCTTCTGCATCTAGACTCCATCCAGAGCACATTCTCAATCCTCTCCACAGAACGTGCTGATTTCCAAAAAACGAAAAGGAGCTGACCTAATTCGCATCACCACCTCTTATCCGTCGGCTCATCCGTGGAAATCAAGCCCCGACCTCTTAAAAGCAGCATCTGAAGTAAAAAGCGATCAGAAAAAAGCACAGCTACAGGCCACGAAGAGGGCGAGTGACACAGAAGCAGCTTCTTCGGCACAGTATTCTCGAGCTCGGGTCTGTGCGAGGGCCTCCAGAACTACCGCAGACACATTCTGAACTCTGTATAATCGAGCAAACACCTGAACGATCCAGAACGCGGCGGTCAAAGCCTGCGAGGCCCACCTGCTCGGTCCCCACACCCGCCCCGGCGCTGTCGTTCTCAGGAGCTAGCGGCCGAGATCTGAGCCCCCGCGTCTAAGCAGCGCAGTCCAGGCGCCTGCAACACCTCTGACACCTGTGCTCTGGTGACGAGGACACGGAGCACCCAAGGAAACAGCATCTTCTGCCCTGAGGGGCGGCTTAACTGCAAGCGGGGGCAGGAGCAGGGACCGCCAGTCAGCGTGCGCACGTGTGTGCGCGTGCAGATGCGCATACTCGTGAACAGGATGGCCGTGCCTAGTGGGGACACAGGCGTCACTGGGCGGCACTGAAACGCCCGCGGCAAGGTCACAGCTGCAGTGGAGGGAACCTGGACAGAGCCTGCAAGGGGTTTACCCCACGGGACCGCAACAGAGAGTCAAGGCCGCTGGGCTCTGGCAGAGCAGTCCCAAGGGTGGAGCCGTCAGTCGGGGGGTGCGGGGTCTCTGGTGTCAGTCAGACATCTGGGCGGATACGCCCATTCATCTGGACTGCAGGGGAGGGCTCTGCACCGCGGGCGGCTTGCACACTGACGGCATTCCAGGATCAGAGTGACCGTCAAAGGCGGCTGAAAAGTCACGTAAGACTGAGAACTGAAGAACACGGCTTTTAAATCTTCACCTGGCCAATGTCTACTCACCCAAGTCTCAGCCCATGTGACCCTCTCTGGGAAGCCACATGCTGGCCTGGGGCGAGGCTGGCTTTCACTGCACCACATACATCCCCCTCCATAAAAGTCGCCAGGCAGGAGGGACACCCCGCCAGCTTCCCTCTGCCTCGCTTGGCCTCTGCACCTCTGAGCCCTGCAGAGCCCCAAAGGCCTTCAGCACCAGCTCCCAGACCTCTTCCCCCACCCCGCCCCCAAGAGCCCAGCATCCCTGAGCTCTGTCTCCAGCCCTAGACTGCCAGTGCCTCCAGGGCAGAGACCTCTGTCCCCCACAGAGCAGGGAGGGTACCCCGCCTCCCTCCAGCAAGTGGGGCTGCTCCGAGGTGCTTCCTGCTCAGATGTGCTTTCTGCTCGCTCCCACCCTCCCTCCCTCTCCCCCTTCACTGGTAAACCATTCATTACCAGCAGCTTTCAAATGCCTGACTGTATTTTAAACCATTTAGATTAAAAAAAACTGATGTGAATAGAAAAGTAAAACAATCCCCTCCTGGCTGGCTCTCAGAGCAGTGGTTATGCAGCACCATTCACGCATGTGGGGAGCCCACTCAGCTCCCCGTGGGGCTCAGGGCCAGCACCAGACCAGGCCCAACATGCTGACGCCAGGCTCTGTCCAGGTCCCACAGAAGCCCTGCCACGGGATGGGGGGATCGGGGGATCGGGACGGAGCCAGGAGCGAGGGGAGCCCGCTCTCTGCAGTGCGCTATGGGCTCCGCCCTGCCCCACTGGCCCTCCCGGGGCTGCAGCGTGTTCCTCCGTGAAAGGAAGCGAGAACTCGAGGATTTTTCTCCCCCAAGAAATGTTTGTTTTTCTCCCCTGGACCACTGCACACGAATGCACCGTGTATCAAAAACAGTGATTTCGGGTACAGATTCAACTCATGCAAAATAACGTACTTCTGTGCTGCCCGATCAATGAGATGGCTATAGGTTTAAGAGACACCGAACACCAGCTGTATCGCTCTCCCCCATCACGTGTGTGAGGGGACCCGGAAGGCTGTTTTCCTGTCAAGCCTTCGCCATCCCCAAAACATTCGTATCTGGCCACGTCTGTCCTAACGGGGAGCCGCTGGGGGAGGCAGAAGCCAGCTCCGGGGGCCAAGGCCCACACGAGACACAGAGGGGAGCGAGCTGACTCCCGCCCGGTCTGCTCCTCAGAGGCCCGGAAGCACGTGCTCCAGGGCTGGCACTGCTTCATGAGATTCCTCCGGGATTATCCAATCGATGTAATCCTTGCTGCCACCTCATGAGAAGCAGCCACCACCCCCATTTTACAGACCAGGAAACTGCAAATAAAGGGAGTCTGGAAACTCAGATAATGTCGAGGGTCAAGGTCATCTAGCCGTCTCCCCATTTGAGAAGCCACAACCAGAGACTTGAACCTTCGAGGTCTGACATCACCAATTTCCAGCTAGGCCTCAACTTCCCCATCCTGACTGTCCCTAACAACGAGCTTTTGCCCCCAGGGATGGCTTAGGAGGTGGCCCTGAGCCCCACCATGGCACTCCCTGAATCTTAAAATACTGGGACAAGCAGACTGAATAGATGCTTCTGGATAAGAACGGGCTTACTGCTCAGCCTCATTAGATTTTGTGAGGATTAAATAAAACATCAAACACGCAACACAACTCCATTCGTTACAAACTACAGGTAGTTACCGAAGACTCTGTTAAAGTTAGTTAACAAGCTCCATCTCCAGCCAGGCTGGGTGGCTGGGGACAGACAAGCTCTGTGGGCCTTTCCCGCAAGGTTTCCCACCTGTGATCGGACTCCCCTTCCCTCCTGACACGCATGCACGCACGCAAGCGCGTGCACACACACACATGCACACGCACAGGCACACACATGCACATGTGCACTCCCATGCACGCGCACATGCACTCACGCACACATGCACTCATGCACGTACACACGCACCCGCACACACACA